GCGGGTCTCCCCGTGTCTGTTCTGTGCAGGAACAGGCCACCGGTGCAGCGTGCACGGCGGTGAGGTGGCCCTGTAAGTCGGTCTGCCTTTCCCGGAGCGTTTAAGGATACTGGCCCCCTTCCTCCGGCCACCCTGGGTACCGCCGTCAGCCCTCAGCGGGGCTGGGCCGGGCCAGACTGAGCGGGCAGCGCCGTCCCACAGCGCCCGGGCTGCTGGTACCACTCCCGGGAGTGGTGCTGTCTCCACCTCGCTGCATGATGACAGCCCTTTACTCCCCCAGTTCTGCTACTCGGACTGAGACAGGTGCATTTCGCCCAGTCACATTTTATGGTAACCCCGTATGCCTCATGAGGTAATTCAGCTAAAGTCGTTCTACTTCAGTAAACCAACTATGCAAAGCCTTCAACCATTTTCCTGCCAACAACTTTGGAACACAAGAAACATTATACTAAAAAAAAAAAAGAAAAAAGAAAAAAATTCTAACCCTCATTTAAGAATGTCTGCCAGAAGATTGTTGGGGTTTTTTTTTTTTATGATTGCTAAATCATTTTTCACCCTTGGTGATAAAGCCTGTTATTGTCTCTGTACCTCCCTAGCCAAATTGTTAGAGGCTCTCAAGGCATGTACCCAGTCAGCTTTAAATCAACAGAAGTTAAAAGGACCACGTATGACTAACAAATTAAAGATGACTTTGTAAATCATTGGCATTAAAAACATTTCCGAATAGTTGAATGCCTTTTTTTTTTTTTTTTTATGTCTCATGGTATCTTCTACTGGCTTTTAGTCATGTTTTTGAGTCTGGACAGAACATAAATACCCACTGTGAAACAAAAACTAAGTGAAACTCTTCAAGTAAGTGTACAGATCAGCCTTCTATACCCACAGAATAAAAAAAAAACAAACCACAAAACCCTCCCACAAAACTAACCCTTGCTTCCTCTGCTGCTCACTACTACAGCACACATGGCAGTTTAAGTCACAGGCACCCCTCTCGCCACCCTGTGCCTTGCTGCAGCCCTTCAGCCACCACCTCTCTCAGAAGGAGCTTTAAAGCCTTTCAGCCATCTATCAGTCATCACCTCAGCAGAGCTAACCAAGCATTACGCCTGAAATTTGGTTCTCCAAAACCCCTAACAAGCAGTCAAACATCTCGTGCAATCTAATTTATGTGGAAAAAGAGCATCTAAGGATAAAACAGTCCTGAAACACTACAACAACCTATACACATCAGTTCCCTAAAACCCAACACTTTCGTTATTCTGGGAAGGACTAAACCTTCTGAAACACTTCCAACCCTGATAAATGACCCTCCTCGCTCTTTTGTTTTTTTTTATTTCCCCAGCTGACCCTGTGATCAACATACAATATGTACATTACACATGCAAGTTTGTCACTGTCCACAGATAATGCACCATTATTTTCTTTTTGTCCATTGCTCTTCAGCTTAGACTAAGTACTGTTCCCACCATGACATACCTCTAGCACCAAAATGCCAGCAAAGGTCAGAGACAATCTAGAATATACATGATGAGACCCTCCACAACAGTCATAATGCATGACTGTTGTGTTAAAGTACATATTTTTCTTTGCATGGGTAGATTTATTTTGACAGAACTCACCTTGTGGCTGTAGTGTTTGCGACAGAGGACCAGACCAATGGAAGTAAACATAGGAGTTTATAAAGCACAAGTCAAGAACAGTAAGAACAGTACTGTCTGCAACATTTTTGCTATTTAAAGGATTATACATGTCACAAAAGTCCAAACAGCTGGTGACACAACAGCTGACTGCGTGCAATAACTAAATTGCATGTACGCTGTACTCAGCAACCGCCCACAAAAATCACACACTTCCACGGCTGGGCTACTTCCTACTCTGTGACTTGCTTTCTCTTCAACAAGTGGATGGGACCAGCCCCACCATTATTTTTCCTGTTTTATTCCAGGTTCTCAGGGAGAACCTGGGAGAAGTTCAGAGCCACAAACAGGAAAACTGACATAATACAATTTAAAAAGTTAGGATGTAATCCTGTCCCATAAGATCACTCTCCTTTCAATACACAGCTTTAGATAAGAAAGAAAGGATCTAAATTTAATATATCCTCCAGAGAGCAAATTGCTTGGTGTCCCTGTATTTCACACATTCTATATAACAGCCTTCTTTTTGCGGAGGAAAAAAAATAGACCTGAAATTGTTTCCAGTTCAGTGCTAGATGTCACCATTTTAAATTATTGGTTCCTTTGCACTGTAGGGAAGTTTGCAATATGTCCTTCCTTCTGCAAGGCAGTAGTGTCAGTGTGGCAGTCAAACACGCAGTTGCATGCTTCTGTCTACTTGCTATTACCACTGGTTATGTGGAAGAGACAGAAAGAGCACAGAGCTAAAATAATTAAATCCTTCACCTGACTGACTGAAGTATTAGGGTAAAATGTATTAAGTTCAGAGCAAGGGCTAGGAGCTTTAAGCAACACCCCATACAGAATATAGAAACTTTGTCCCAGAGAGAGGGTACCGATTAACTCTGCTCACTAACACCTCAGTTATCTGTACCTGGCATACCTTTGCCTTTCTCTTGCAAATAATTTCTTCTCTTAATATTTTAAGAGGCAAAGTCTCAAAGCGGGAAACACGAGTCTGAAGCAGACTGCAAGTCAGCTGGACCTGGACCTCCCAAGGATTACAAGGCATATATATGAGAATGGACTTTGCTAAGTGGTGTTGACTGAGTCCAAAGACGACTGGGGGAAGAAGTCCAGAATGGTAGGAGCTGGATGCAGGAACTGTGGGTACTCTCTCCTGTCCAGGTCTCTCATGCACAGCTGGAAACTAGAAATACACCCTCTCACCTCTACATATTATAGGGTCAGAAAATGAACCTCTGTGGAAATGAGTTGATTTTTTCCTGCTTCATGAAAACAAACTGATGGCAAAATGCATTTTTTAACTCTACAAGGAGGTTTCAAGGAAAAGTAGAACATTCTGCTTTTTCCAGTATGCCCAAGGTGGAGAACTGCTTTTTTGATGTGTACAAATCACTCTTTTCCCTGCTTAAGTCACTTTATTTTATGCTTACTATACTAAGTGACTTGAGCATAGGATCAGCAATATATACATATACACATGCATATGTCTCCATGTATTTTATTTTTCCTCTTGACCAGTCAATATTCAGGTATCTCTGTACCCTCTTGCAGACTTTCTTATTTGAGTCCAACAACATTTGGTCTGAAATAAGACCAAACAGCAGCTCTCTCTTACTTGTTCAACATCATCTTGGCCACGCTATCTTTTATTATTTTGGGTGTATCAGGATATTCTTGGCTTCAAGTCTGACCACAGTCTTTTTATCACTACTCTTTGTTGTGTCTACCCCCTACTGTCTGTGCAATAAAGTGATGAAAAACAAGTTACAGTAAATACACGGTTACCTAGTTTCGATCAACAGCTATGTAAAGACACAAACACTTACTCTTTCATACCACAAGCGTTGTGCCAGAGGCAGACAATCAGAAGTTGTTTCTGATCTACCTTTAGGGGAGGCTGAAGAGGTCATCATTCCAACACAGCAGTAGAGGAGCAAGCACTCCTCTAAACACGGTCTTTAATCCTCTAGGAGAGAAAGGTTTCATCTATCTATGACGCTGCTCTCACCTAGAGGAAAAAAATTGCATATCTTACTCAATTTTCTAAAAACTAGTAAAGTAAGGAAGGTTAGAATTTACATGGGAAAGTTGCAGAAAACTGGTAGTATGAAATTGTAGCAAAGGACATTGTTTCAATATAGTATCACAAAGAAAGATAAGGCAGAAAACAAAGATTTGAAAAAAAAAAATATATTTTTAAAAGTATTTTCTTATTTTACAAGTATAAAAAGCAGTGTTTAAAAATCAAAATCCTGGAAGACCCTCTGGAAAAACTGGCTTCTAAAGCACAAGACCCCCCTGTAACAACTCCCAATGTTACAACTCATGAAAATCCTGCATTCAATGAGCAAAGGTATGATCCAGCTCAAGTAACCCTTCTTAATAACACTTTAAACCCCATAATCCAGCAGTCGATCTGACCAGTCTCTAAAGAATGTGTCGAGGCATTCTGTGGCTACAGAGCAAAAGGGTTGGCATGAATTGTAATATCTTTAATGCGAACATCATTAAGAGGTCGG